TGACTTAGCAGTCGAGATTGTGAGTACGTATTGAAGTCCGTTTTCATTGAGTGCATTGGACTAAGAAGTCTTTATCATGGTCTTAACACTGATGAAGGGGTTACTTCTCGACATCTACCCATCTGCCCATAGTGTTTGGTCTTTCCTCGTCGTACTTGGTTCATTCATTTCCTCGACGACTTCGGGTCTAGAAAAGGCGAGGGTGTAAGCAAAGGAAAGAACACGGTCACTGACAGGCTGTGAGCATTCCTCTACAAAACCGCATTCCGCTAATACCTTGACTCTTTCCCTTCGGCTTGTTCAGACTGAAAGGTTGATCACTCGGAGCTGATCGAGGTTCCGCATGTGACGTTGACGTCATTGGCGATGAAGATTTTTGCAAAGGCCGCTTTTTCATGAGAGAGTGCTTTGTTTTGACCCGAGAAGATACATTCAGCGTCAAGCTCGAAACCATGGCCACCCTCTTGCCATATGCGAAGGTGGTGGGGTAGAGGCGAAGGCAAAGAGGGTGTGATCCCCACTCCAACCTCCAAGTTCCATCCATTGGTCCGTGCATAGACTGCTAAACCCGAAGCTCCATAGCCGCAGAATAAGCAAGCACAACTCGCATCATTTGAATGCTCATCAACCACTTATCTGAACGCCCTGCTGCATGTTTATATATCCCAAGCGACGAACATGGGGGATTTCCCTATCGCTGGCATCTCGGCTGGAGCCCACCTGCACGAACGAACTACAGCCCAGCATTTGATTGATATCGTACGCACCTCGCTCTCAGGCCGTCTAAGTATTCCTCACCTTTCCCTCCATCTCATCACTATCTTCTCCCATCAACACCCATGGCTATTTTGAGTGTCCCAGTCCCTTCAGCTGTTCATATTCTCGTCGGGGGCTTCGCTGTTCTCATCCTCCACGTATGTTGTCTTATCTCATCACACGCAGTGACAGCCAATTAACACATTGTATTAGCTCATTGTTCTCTCTGTCTATCGTCTCGTGTTCCATCCTCTCGCAAAGTTTCCTGGGCCCCTCCAGTATAAACTCAGTGCCTGGCCTCTTCTTTGGCAGGCATACAAAGGTAATCGGCACATACGGCACTTGTGTGATCATGAGAAATATGGTATGTCGCATCTTCTTATCGCGAGGTCTAGATCCGATCCTATCATATATCCGCAGCATCAAAATGGTATGAGATGCTGGCATTCCCCCTTTCAAGTTTCATTCTTTTGGGTTCCAGCTTAATATTAATCTTTGAGCTCAATGCTCTGGTCTCCCGCGACCACTCTCTTTACTAGCTCAAACGATGAGTAGGTGCTGAACGGACTTATGCTGTCGATTAAAAGGACTTCCTCCCCCGGGTTTTCACTTTCCCGTATAGTGCCCACAACAAACTTATTATATAGATCAGGTGACGAGCACTTTACTGATCATTATAGGGCCCATTGTTCGTATTGCCCCCGACACGCTTTCTTTCAACACAGCATCGGCTTTGAACACCATATACGGGCCTAGAAGTGCCAATGTTAAGAAAGGCGAGTGGTATAAAACTTTCGATGTCGCAGCCGGATCGTATAGCAGCTTCACGGAAACTGACAGAGACAAACACGCGGCTAAGCGCCGATGGCTGAGCCCGGCATTTTCTGTAGAGTCGCAGAAATCGAACGAGCCTGTCGTCATTGATGTCATTGAAAGATTTTGCGAGACTATGAGACCGTCTGGAAATGACTGGGGCCCCAAATGGAACATTACTGAGGAGACGACACGCCTTGGATTCGACATCATGGGCGGGATTGTGTTCGGGTGTGACTTCAAAAGCGTACAGGAGGAAGAGAACAGAGACCTCGCGGACTCCGTTCTTCCTGCATCGAAATTTCTATACTGGGTATGGCGCTTCTTAATGGCCTCTATTCCCTTCTGCTTACACTTTATACCAAGGTGTCACATCTCCCTCTGGCTGCTCTAGTACGTCCTCTGCTGAGGACGAGACTCTTCGAAATTGCAGGCGGACAACCGGTCGTTGATAACAACCGGCTCATTAATTATGCCAGCAGTCAAGTGCAACTCCAGAGTTGCGAGATTAAAGGCGGCGAGAAAGAGGAGAGAGCGGATCGTATTGACTTCCTGTCCAGAATCGTCAACAGTGGAGACAAAAAGACCGGATGGCAGCCAACCCGGGCCGATCTGGACACTGAATGCCTTAACTTGATGAATGCGGGAGCAGACCCCTATAGCGGCGCAATTGCTGCTACACTCTTCTACCTTGCCCACAACGCTGGAGCTCTTGAGAAGGCTACAGCAGAGGTTCGGTACGTTAGTCCAGTCCAACACCACCTTGCTTCAATGCTAACATCATCCAGATCTGTATTTACTACGCCTGACGAAATTTGCAATGGCCCGAAACTGAACTCCTGCACATACATGTACGCTTGCATTGAAGAAACCCTACGTCGGGCGGCTCCTGTCCCCAGCCATCTCCCGCGCGTTGTTCTGCCCGGCGGAATGGATATTGATGGGCATCATCTGCCCGAAGGAACCGTGGTCGGTGTATCATCCTATTCCCTCCACCACAGTCCAGTCCACTTCCCCGATCCTTGGTCGTTTCAGCCCGAACGGTGGATCGAATCTACATCTGTGTCTCAAGAGAGCATCAACCATGCGCGCAGAGCCTTTTGGCCCTTTGGCCTGGGTACGCGACAATGCATCGGCGGGAATCTTGCATATCTACAGCTCAAGCTTTCTCTCGCTCATGTCCTGTACCGCTACGATATGCGACTTGCTCCGGACGATCCAGGACGTGGAGGAGGCGGGCCATGTATGGAGCAAGGAAGGCAAAGGGAGGACGAGTTTCAATTGTGGGATGCCTTTGGTTATGGCAGGGACGGACCTGTGGTGCAGTTCAAGAAAGCGTAGTGAGAATCTGAGGTTGACCGTGGGCTGTGCGTTCTTTCGAAACGCTTTTCTACGAGTGTTTTGGTTCGCCGCAGGGAGGGCCGTTGGGGTTCTATGAATCGCGTGTAACGACAAGCTTTCCACTACTGCCCTCGTATGTTTTGTTCGCCCAAAGATCCATACACAGCTATTCGATTCTGTACGTTACCCTGCTAGATGCTGTGACGACTCAGATTATTTTCCTGAGTGACTTCTGAAAAGCTGTGTCTCTTTGGATAACAAGCTTTTGGAATGGGAGCAAAAAAAGGTTCCCCCACTAAATGTATGTAGACATGTACAAAATCAGGCAGCATCCCTCTTACCCTTGATTCCAACACACTTTCGTCACCATGGAAGCCCGTATCTGTCTCCAGGATTTCTCTGACATTCTCTGCCGGCATGGCGGGTCAAACCTAACCCTCGCTCGGCCCTGGCCGTGGCCTTGAAGGCTCACTGCCCACTCTAAACATTGCCCACGGTGACCAAGTGTCCGCAGACGAAGCGCGCGTTCTCCACCTCGGACACCAAACCCGCTCCATCAGCCACAGAATAGTCAACCTTCTTTCAATATTTAGCATGTCCGAGTATAATTAAAATGTACAACATTACCTGTACAGCTACCTCTTTGCTGCAAAGGATCGTGAAGCTGAACATACGGCGAAGGTATACCGGGGTAGCAGTGGATCATCTCTAAGTGTCTAGACGAAACGCTTATGGCACACAGGGACTAAAGATTTTTGAGAAGTAAAATTAATTTAAAGCTAATGATACCCCTATAGAGAGTATAGGCATTATATATCAATCTCGGGATTTCATGATTGACAGCTTCTAAGGGCTTTTCTCGCTTCAAGATCCCGGCTAGTTCATAACTCCCCTCTCGAGACGCTCCGAGGCTCGGTGGTAGTCGTAAATGTTGTTGTTGCTCAGACGTTCTACTTTGTACGTGGTTCGTATAGACGACGCCTGAAGATCAATAACAAACTGGCCACGTACATGGCTGACGTGCTTACCGAATTATTTTTTCGAGACCTTTGCTACCCAAGCAAGTATAAAGCAGCAACCCAAGGATCATATAATTCATACGCTATCCTATTGTATACGAATTTTCAAGAACACAATGCCCTACCTCAGTCCTCAGCACCGCAGCTATCAATATCATATCCATCGGATCTCCTCACAACCTCTATCATGCTTTCGTTAAAATTACTCCAACGCTTGTGTCTCGGCTAGTGTCCGTCGTGAGAATATAGAAGGGTAGATCAACAATGTCATTTGCCACCCAACGCTACAACCATTCTTGGACAAACCATCAACCCTTGGTCTAGTCCTGAAGAAGTGTTTGAAGGCGGCATCATTAAGTCTATGACAGTTGAACCTAAGAACATGCAAGAGTAATGGGTGTGGAATACAACCTGCAGATGGTCCTCCGAAAAAGGACTTACAAAGGAACTTAGGAACAGTGGATGAATCGAAAGGTGAGGTTAGACAATGCCGAATGCACCTGGGTGTTGTGCAACGACGGAGAACTTTCTTCTGAGCGACTCCTGAATAGCTGGGGGAAAAAAAAATTACAATGCTGAATGCACGCGTCCTTCGTATCTACAAGAAGCTAGTATTTATTAGGTATCATATAGACAATTTTAGTTGGTGGGTAAATCGATTAGGCTGACCCTGAAAAGCAGTTGTATTTGCCAGACTTCTTTGATACCATAGAAGAGATGGCTAGTAAAACATGTGTGCGCCATTCCAGATTCCTGCAAACGAACAGAACGAAGTATCAATTTATCTTATTTACTTTGCATAATATTGAATAGATTAGAAAAAGGCCCTTTCAGAGATCCATCTAAAATTTTAAACTGTTGGTGGTTCGGAGCCACACACGACTCTACGAGCGAAACCCCACTAACATTTTCTACCGCGCCTAGCCGGCGGGGCAATTTTCCCTGCCAGTCCGTTCTCCTAGGGTCAAAAACCTTTCTACACCTCTGCACCTCTCTCTTGCTCTTTAGTGTGCGTATATATATGAAACAAACCTTCGAAACATCATAAACAATTGACGCAAGACAATTCTCGGTCAGATGGCCGAGTGGTTATGGCGCCAGCTTCAGGTGCTGGTATCGAAAGATGCGTGGGTTCGAGTCCCACTCTGATCAATATTTTCTTTTTGCACTTTTTCTTTACTATTTTTGCATTTCCTTCATATCTCTTTGCTTCAATGTGGAGTTGCTGTGGATTTTGCTTCAATTTTAGAAAACGCGGGGTAGCTCGCTTAGAGATCTATGCAGAGTAGAGTGTAGTGTATCATGCGACGACTTGTCACCTGGAGAACAAACTACTGCAGCTACACCTTCAAGGGGCATAAGTAAAATTCGTTGAATGTCCGATAGGATAGAGCCAGCAAGAGTCTTTTTTTAGAGTCTTGCTGATAATGGTTGGAGTTGACAAAAGTACATCCACCGCTGTGGTTTCCCTCAATTGCGTGAGACTTTCAATGACCGACTCTCGACCTGTGAATTCAACATGCGTACTCTAAGCCTAGCATGTATAGAAGACGACCTTATAGAGCTATCGCGCTGTGTTCGAAGTCTCAAATATCAAGATCTGGGAAATGGAACGAATCGTGCTTGCGCCGTAATACGAACGGCAGCCTTTGAACCGTGCTTGGTCTGAGCTTGGAAGACATCACCTCCTCCTTCATAAGGCTGGGGCTGCCCCTCCCAATTGATTCCAGTCCATCAACACTCCCGTCGCACTATTATTTGACATATCCTTATGTTTGACACCTATCATTCATAGGTTCTTGCCGCTCTCCTCGCTGGTAGAGCGGCTTGCGATTCCTTCGTTCTCGTCTCGCATTTGCTCCATACTTTCGTTGAACAGCTGGAGGGAAAGCCCCAAGCTTCACACAGCCATGATACTCCGGGTCGTGTTCGCCAGCCGACCGATTGGAGGAATTCTGCTTCTACTTGCCTTGTTCACGCTCCTTGCATCAGCGCTGAAGAACGATCCCCTCGGTAATACTGCCAACTACCCCCCCTCAACCTCAGCATGCGCTGACGCTCCTCCCAGTTGACGAAGACCATGATTCGGGCTACGAAACCGAGCACCAGAACGTCTTCCATCCCCATCGCCCGTTTAACCCTAAATCTCCACCCTCGTACCAGAAACCTGCCCACGATGCGCCTCCGCCGCTCTCGGCCGCAGAGGCCACAAACGCGCTGCAGGAGCTGCACAACGCGCTCGAAGTGATGCAGACCGAGTACTTCTCGCTCTGGCTAGGGAAATGGACAAGTGCCATCGACTGGACGGCCGCCGTCATGGGGACGCACGTTTCGGCGACGCTGTACTCGTTGTCGCACTCGCTCTCCTACACCATGCCGGGCACCTTCGACAAGGAGCGCAAACTCGACGTCGAGGCACAGATGGTCGAGAACGAGATAAACAAGTACTTCACGCAGAGTGTGACATATTTTTTCGGGGAAGAGTACTTTTCGTTGCGCACGCAGGCCAACGACGATATGCTGTGGGTGGTGCTGGGGTGGCTGGAGAGCATCCAATTCATCGGCAGCCATTCTGACAGACACTACCCGCCGACAAGCGATGTAGCCAAGGGAGAGTCAGAGTGGCACGGCGCACAATTTATCTCACCTTTTGCACACCGGGCGAGGGTGTTTTACGAGTTGGCGAGTAAGGGCTGGGACTGGGAGCTCTGCGGAGGCGGAATGACTTGGGATCCGCATGTGCTGCCGTACAAGAACGCGATCACGAACCAACTTTTTATTTCGGCGAGTATCGGCATGTATCTGCATTTCCCCGGCGATGACAACTGTTCCCCGTTTATGGGAGCGAGGGATGGAAGCCAGCGTCCGGATTGGAAGGCATTCAGGGCACAAGAGCAGGGCGATGCGGTGGCATGTGGGGAGAGCACGGCCTCAAGATCAACGTACGACCCGATATATCTTGCGAATGCAATCCATGGGTACGACTGGTTAAAGAACAGCGGCATGACGAACGAGCAGGGTCTCTACGTCGACGGCTTTCACATTAGAGGATATGCAACGAACCACAGCAAAACTCACTGTGATGAGCGCAACGAAATGGTGTACACCTACAACCAAGGCGTCATTCTCTCTGGACTTCGCGGACTCTGGGAGGCCACGGGGAATTTGACGTATCTCGAAGACGGACACGAACTCGTGCGGAACGTAATTCGCGCTACAGGCTGGACTGACACCGAGATCTCTACCGCCATATTTCTCCCGTCGGAATCTCCACCCCAAAAGCCTAAAGCCAAGTCCAAATCTTCCCCATCCACCCCGTCCTGGTCCGGCCTCGGCAGCTCAGGCATCCTCACCGAGCTCTGCGACCCATCCGGCCTCTGCAGTCAAAACGGGCACACCTTCAAGGGCATCTTCTTCCACCACCTCGTCTCCTTCTGCACGCCCCTACCCAAATCCGCCGTGCGCCCCGGAAAGACACACGCCGCGTCCCGGGTCACCGTATCCCTACACCGAAGATCTTGCAACGAGTATGCGCCCTGGGTTCTGCATAACGCACGCGCAGCGGGCGAGACGAGGGATACCAAGGGGCGTTTCGGCATGTGGTGGGGCGCGGGCATAGAGCAGAGAAGCGCGGCCCGGGAAGAGAAGAAGCACGACGACGGCGACGGCAGCGAGATTCGTCAAAAACAGGAGAAGAGACGGCACAGGCAGTTCCTAACCCGAAGTCCTCCTCCTCTCCCCAAAGGCGCACTCGACTACCGGAACGACGCCGCCCAGCTCGCCTCCTTCCTTCCGCACACCTTTGCCCACGTCTCCGACCGAGATGTCGCTACACCCGCCCCAGATGTGCAAACCGTAGGAAGCGACGGCGACGGCGATCCGAACACGCGCGGCCGCGGCCGCACCGTCGAGACGCAAGGCGGCGGCGTGGCAGTCACGCGCGCAATGTGGGAGTTTCTGAGGCGGTATGAGGACGACGACGAGTAACGTTTTTGTTGTTTTTGTTGTTTTTTGAATGCCATCGACGTTTTGTGCGGTTTATGATTGCGTGATATCCATGTGGGCTTGGGGCTGCGGGTTCGGTGTACAAGGTCTTTTTTTGGGGACATTATTCTTTCTTTTTCTTTTATACGAAATAGCTACATAGCTAGTGCGGATGTATGCATATGTGCCTTGTACTTGCAGCGACGGAGAGATGGCGTTTGAAATTTTTCTTTTTTTTTTTGGTTGGGCATACATTTGTACGCGAACGCACACCGACGACCGAACACGACGTAAAGCAATATCAATTTCAAGTATTCACACATACACGACGTAAACTCGATCCTCATATGCACACTGGACTTGGGAATGCATGATATAGTATCCTCTCCGTTGACACTCCGTACTTGACGTCCCCGCTTCACCATGTATCCGGCTATTTGCTGTATCCTAGGCGCTTTCGTTCTGGTATCTATATGCCTGTGGTCAAGGTACCATATCCTACCTTCCTCCAAGGCTATGTAACGACGGAGAAATGCAGACGAGCCTTCTTCTTGACACACATAGCACCATACTACAAGATGTGTGATCCATCAGTGCTTCATCTCCCGGTAGTCGTCTCTATTCAGCGAACCGATATCTTAGTTTCTCTCCTACATGATCCCCAGCTCAGCAAATCCCTTCAACACATCCTTATCCACTCGGCTCAACCACTCGTCCTGGAACTGCTGCTCGCCACCAGAAGCTTGGATCGCGTTCTGTAGGTGTTCGCGCACAAAGGCAACGAGATTGAGGCGGTGGACTGGGTCTGAGTAGATGAGCTGGCGTTTTCGGACGTCTTCCGGGGCTTCGGGGTCTACGGGGTTGTAGGGGCCGGAGTCTTCGGGCCAGTAGAGACAACTAGGTTGGGTGTTAGCTTTCAAAGTCCTGGTAGAAAACAAACAATGTAAAGATGAAGACGGCTGACGGGATTGGGAGATGTGAAAAAAGTAAAGAGAAGGCAAGGAAAGGGAATACGTACTCAGCGCTCCGGTCATCACAACCGTCCAACAGCTCCCCCAGCACATCCGTCCATATCACAATCAGATTCTGCAATCTACCCAATATCCATCCCGTATTCGTCTCTAGCAACCTCGTTAAAACAAGCGTCATAAGCTTCTTATTTGGCCCGTCGCCAATATTCTCGATATGGCTAAACCACTCCTCGAGCAGCCAGTCCAGTGTCTTCTCGAGATCTGCTCCTCCAATAGATGTCAAGCCTTCGAGTAGAACAGCCGGAGACGCAAGCCCGATTCGTGCAAGGACAGTGAAGTAGTCCGTCTCGACGACGCCATCGACAGCTCGGGAGGGTAGTTCGCGATACGGACCATGGGACTGATGGTGCGTCCATGCGCCGTGTAGTCCTTCCATAACTTTTGCGAAGAAGCCGGAGGAGATGAGGTCGCCAACGACGATTTTGACGGCTTCCTCGCCGCCGAAGCCATCGGCGCCGCGGACTACGCATTGGACCAAGTGCGTTACTGTTCCGTTCGCTTCTATCTTGAGGCTCCCGAGCAGATCTGCGAGAGCGGAGAGTAGATTGGGGCGGAAACTGTCGGCGAGCACGGCGGCGGGTGCGAGGAGTAGGTATGCTTCGGTAATTTCGAGGCCTTTGCGAAGGACTTCGTTGTCTACGCTGTAGAGAGGGAGGAGGTATTGGAGTAGACTTAGAAGCTCGGTTGGTGTGGGCTCTGGTGCCGATGGTGTTTGTGCGACGATGGATGCCCAAAGATCAAGAGCATCTTCCAGGAGGTAAACCTGGGTTTCCGAATTCGGTTCGATAGCGCTCTGGATGATGGGGAGGAAGGAGACGTGGAAGGTGCGGGATTCAGCTTTCATGGCGTTGGTTAGGCGCGCGAGAATCGTGAGAATGGCTTGCTTCATGAGATGTTCTTCGCCAGACTGTTCCCAGAGTGGCGGAAGCAGAGATATGATGCTGTTGGCGTATGGTGTGATCTGTCGATAGTCAGTTGAACTCATGAAAACTAAAGACGCACAAACTTACATTGTGTTCCATCCGCTCGACGATCGAGCTAATGGTATTCAGCAACACCATCTTGGTCTCTGGAAGCTCAACCTCTTGTACCAAAGCCATCATCCTATCTAGAATACCCGGAGCATAGGGCAAGAAA